GGTTCCATGATAAGTTGGGTACCAGGTTGCATTTTAGTACTGCACATCATACGTATACAGATGGTCAGAGTGAGTAGACTATTTCGACGCTCAAGGATATGTTGAGAGTCTGCATCATCGATTCCGGTGAGAGCTGCGACTCCTACCTCCATTTGGCCAAGTTTTTATATAGTAACAACTATCATTCCAGCATTGGTGCGCCTCCTTATAAGCTTCTTTATAGAAGGAGGTGTCGGACCCTGATTTGTTGGCGAAAGGTCGGGCATAGAGTCATGGGGAGCACTGAGTTAATGCTCAAGACGAAAGAGCTCATTCAACATGTTAGGCAGAGACTGGAAACATCATATAGCAGACTTAAGAGATATGTTGATCGACGTCGATCTGATTTGGAGTTTCAGGTCGGGGATATGGTGTTGTTGAAGGTGTCACCCTAGAAGGGTGTTATTCATTTTAGGAAGTAAGGCAAGTTGGACCACATATTTATAGGGCCATTCAAAGTTGTGGCTAGGGTGAACAATGTAGCCTACAGACTGGATTTACTTGAGGAGCTCATCCAGACTCATATCACTTTCCATCTCTGTTAGCTTCGGAAGTGTGTAGTTGAGGATATGGAAATGGTGCCACTAGACAATATATCGGTTGATGAGCGCCTAAATTATGTAGAGAGACCAATAGTTATCTTGGATAGATTGACAAAGACCTTGCAAAACAATGTGGTGCCCTTGGTTAATGTGCAGTAGCAGCACTGGAAGGGTTCTTAGTGGACTTGGGAGCCAGAGGAGGTGATGCACATCCACTACCCAGATTTGTTTTCTACTACAGATTTCAAGTATGAAATCTGATTCTAGTGGAGGAGAATTATAACGCCCGCTTTTTTAGGTATGCTTCTTTTCAAGTTAAATTAATTAAATCTAAAATTTTGAGGATTTTAGCTGGCAACGACGTGGTGGTGGAGGATCACCACGACGTGGCGTCGTCTATAAATGATCGCGCATTTTCTAACTACCACGGCGTGGTCATATATTGGCCACGACGTGGTGACAACTGGTGCTCAAAGCCCTAGATTTCGGGCCTTGGGCCTTATTTAAAGGATGTGAAGGTTAGGGTTTCTCCCACCCTCGGCCTTCCTCACTCCCAACTCGAAGCCTTAGCCTCATATTAGTGTTCTTGAACTCATTTTGCCTTTTGTGTCCATTGAAGGAAGAAGGAAGCCATTTGTAGTGGAAAGGGCCAGCTAGCAAGCACAAACATATATTTTTGAGCATTTTCTGGACCATTGTAAGTCCTCAAGGTTCCATCTTTTTGTTTCATTTCTTGTAGATCTAGAAAGTTAGCATATATTGGTCCATTGGTTGAGTTTGAATGAATGGTTGTAATAATTTGAGGTCCCTAGATTGTCATATCTTCTGGATCTAGAACTTGGGAGTGTTTTGAAGCCATGCATGAGATTTTAAGTTATTTTTCTAACCATTTTGACCTAATCTTGGAAGGACATGCATTAGACATGCATGTCCATAAAGTTGGGATTTTATGACTCGTTAGGGTGTTTCAAAGCTTTTTGGAAAATATAGACGATGGACTTAATGGGGATACAACTTAATCTATTAAGCTATTTTGCCCAGATTCCATGGTGTGGTATGATTCTCGCCACGACGTGGTGGTGGAGTTCTAGTGAGGCTACCATGGTGCAGTCATGGGTTGGCCACAACATAGTGGCTAACCGTGACCGTTGACTTTTGACCATGTTGAGTTTTGGTCAACTTAGGGGTTTTGGGTTGTAGACTGAGGATTACCTCTAAATGGTGAATAGGTGGTTCGTAGTTCCAACCTTTACTTCTCTATGAGTCGTGGTGTGTGTGTCTGCTTTCGACTGTAAGGCGAGTCTTCTCACTATACCGACAACAAATGTAATTACTGGCGACAAGGTTATTAGCGTCGTCGGTAGGAATTACCGACGACAAGGTTATTAACGGCGACAAACATCTTTAGCGGCGATTTTTTGAACAATAGCGACGGGGAAGTAGTGGCGACAAGTTGTCACTATTTCCTTAACCGACGACAAAGCAAAAGTTGGCATCATCCATGTTATTCTAAGCAAAAACGCGATTTCATGGAATTATTATAATTAGGACTGTTCATTATTTGGATAAAACCGAATTGTCCAATTTGACAAATTGGATTGGACTATTTGGTTCGGATATTCTGATTTTTGGATTGGTTTTCAACAAAACCGAATTACTATTTTGGATTTCGGTTTGGTTTTGGTTTATAAAATATGAACCGAATAATTCAAAAAAACTGAATAACAATTTATTATTTATTTATTTTTAATATAACTATAACTATTTATTAATTTTATAATTTATTTTTTCAAATAAGTTCAAAAAGTTTCATCTACTAAAAAACATTAATATGCATTTTCTCTTAAAAGTTCTTTATGTATTAAATATTAAACTATAATATATATTCTTAGTAGTTTATAAATTTTAAATCACAACTAAATATTTTTTTTTTGCTTCTTATATAAAAATTGAAAAATAATATAATTATATGTCATTTTAAAATGTTTTAGTTTTTGAAAACCGAATTATAAAAACCGATTCAACCGAATTGTAATTGGATCGGATCGGATCGGATTTGAATTTAGTTTGGATTATTCAAATCCATATTTTGAAAACCGAAATCAATTTGGATTTACTTAATTGGATCGGATCGAACCGATCCATCCAAATGAACACCCCTAATTACAATGGAGTAAAACTTCAATGAAACTCTTGCAATAAATAAACGTTCTCAAACAAACATTGCCAATATCACAAAATTACCAAATAGCTCATTTCTTTATGTTGTCAAAATTTTAAAAGTGCTAGTTCCTTATTTTTACAAGGTGTTAATTACATAAAAAAAAGTTACATATATAATGAATGCGTCATATAAGATGGAATGATTCACCAAAGTGGAACAAAACTAGATAACTTTACAGCATTTGAAGAAGTTCCATCTTCAATTTGGCCCGCTAGTTCCATGTTCCCTTCTTTCTCATAACCATTAACAAAAGCATATAATAAATTTCTGAATTCGGTTCATACACACTTCCCAGTTCCTACCATTTCCGCTTGAATCACTGTACAAACCCTTAATCAAAAGCTCATAATTTCACCTTCATAACAACACCGAGTCTGCAAAATAAGCAGATGGCCTAAGGAAAGAAAGAAACAAGCTGCAGAACAGACAACTGTCGATCCACCTAAAAACTATACTCAAGTTCACCAAGACCAACAATATGCATTTTTCCATTTATTAGATACTGGAGAAGAAACGCAATCCTAGTGAAAACAACAAACATAACGTATCAAAAAACAATTAAATTCAACAAAATTCAGGAACATAAAGTATCAAAATCACAATTCAAAGCAATGAAACGAAGATTTTACCACCTAAAATTCACAAGTTCACGAACATAAAGCATCAAACAACCATGGACTTGCCAAAAGCTTTAAAGACTGTAATTATTGTTTGTTTTTTGTCTGCTGCAAAAATATAATTAAAAAAACCACGGAGTTGCTAAAATTCTCGTTGTGATCATTGTGTGTTGTTTGTCTGCTGCAGAAAAAGAAAATAACTACGAATTTGACCCCCAATAATGTTGGTTGTTTGTTGTTTATATTTTCAAGGTCAAGTTTTTTGGATAAGCAAAAATAAACCATAATTAATAAACGATTAAAAGGGTAATGGGGATTAGGCAAAATTACATAAAGATGCTATGATTTCAGATCACAGGGTTTAGATATTCAGATTTCATAGTCTTAAAGCAAAATCGATTTCAGAACACAAACTTTCAAAATATGAAACCATTTTTAGAACAGATCTTAAAGTTGTTATAATCATTTTGATGATTGTGAAAGTTAACTGGATTTTAACATTTAGTTTTAAACTAAAAATGTATCACTCATATACTTATAAACAACTCGCATCAAGCTAAAATACAACGAATAGCAGCTTTATTATGTTCAATGGTTTATTACAACATCCTACTTTAACTACTTTTCTATTACAAGTAACATTACACTTATGATTCCTTACTAAAACATTTTACTTTCTAAAATATACACAAATATATCAATCAAAATTGATTTGTATTCGGATGACATTGTTACAATCACGCAACAGTTGCAAAATGCGATGTATTACCGGAAATTTAATAAGTTGATGGCTAACTTGTCAGTTGTCTTTATCATGGATTTTTACCCGAGAATTTGAGTACCCAAAATTCGTTTTTTTCACAACAGACAAATGTAAGAAACAGTAACATACTCCAGAATCTTGAAGAACATTTAACAAAACCCATGCCCATAGTAACAAAGTCGGATCAAAAAACCAAAAAGACTTGAAAGAAAAATTAACAAGTATAACATGAAATTAGACTCTAAAATACCATTTTAAATTTCGAGGTACTCTTCTTCCTCACAGATTGATATATTAACCGTGCATTTGCGTCTTTTGAATACAGATCGTGTACTTCCTGATGGATTTGCAGTAGTTGCAGTCCCTTTGTTTTTTCTGCCGGCTGCTTTCCTACAAAGGAAAAACAAATTGTTTTGGATTTTGAGTATATGCTAATGCAAGTGTAATATACATGTAATGAGTATCAAAATAAATAATGAATTAGGTTTATGGTAGGGTTCCCTACTTGTGAGAGCAAACATTGTTAATGGAATTAACATTTTTGGCTTCTTCTTGACACATTCATGCTGCCTCTTCTTCTAATTTGCCTGCCTTCTTCAACATTTCTATTGTTTTCTCTAAATACAATCCCGTATTCTCATTAGATCGTGATCGAGTTGCATTCCATTTGCCTTTACCATTGGGTGCCTTCCTACTTCGAAAAATATAAATAAATATATAAAAGATAAATCGTTTAGGATGTTTTAGTAAACATGTTTAATATGCATGAGTATCAAATAAATAATAAATTAAGTAAGTTTATCGTAGGGTGGGTCCTACTTATCAGAATTAACAATTTTGGTTTTTTCTTTATTCTTTGATACTTCGTGCGTATTCTTCCACAAATCCCATGCTATTTGCTGATCCACCAACAATCTCTCATTATCAATATCGATATCCTCCTCGTTCAACTTGTCACAACATGTACATCCCGATCGAGTTGGATTCCCTTTGTCTTTACCATTGGGTGCCTTCCTACTAGAAATAAATAAATAAATAAATCGTTTAGTATCAAATAAATAATAAATTAAGTTTATGGTAGGGTGGGTCCTACTTATCAGAATTAACAATTTTGGTTTCTTCTTATACGTGGATCCTTTGCCTGCCTTCTTTAACCATCCCCCTACTGGTTGCTCCACCAACAATCTCTCATTCTCATCAATATCCTCCTCGCATACTAAAACTCCTTCGGAATTCTCTATGTACCTGTTAGAACATATAGATCCTGATCGAGTTGCATTCCATTTTTCTTTACCATCGGGTGCCTTCCTACTGCAAATTAAAAAAAAATGATGTTTTAGTAAACAGTGTAATATGCATGAGTATAAAATACTAAATAATAGATCAAGTTTATGGTAGGGTCCTACTTATCAGAATTAACATCAGTTTCATCTTTGTACCTGTTAAAATCAGTTTCATGTTAAGGGTATATATAGAAAAGAAATGACAGGGAACTAGAGACCATAAAACACTTCAATAACCTCTATGAATGCATAAAGAGGAAACAAAACTCACATAGAAATCGACATCAAACTTGGGCTTGCAGGTTTATTGAGAAGCAGTCTTCGATTTTCCATTCACAATGTGACCTGTTTTATGAAAAAAAGTTGGTTTGTAATATGAAAAAAAGGAAGGTGTGACGACTTTGACACCATCTGTCAAAGTATGCTAGGAAAATGGGTAAATGGTGCATTAAAAAGCTAGTAGAACCACCATAAATAGCAGCCAACAATGTAAAGGATTAGGGCGAAAGGGAACGAAGAACAAAAGTCAGCAGCAAACCAAAGGTAGAGTCAACTAGTCAAGGGCAAAAAAGTCCAAGAAACATTGAAAATGATTGATACGTAGAAACAAAAAGTAGGAAGATATTTAATTTCCCTTTAATATGTCCATTACTCCACAATAATGGCATCAAAAACAAGAAATGGTTATATTCGACAAACTGATAGAGGCTGAAGAGATTTTTGTTTTGTGTGTGTTGTACGTGTGATTTTATTACCTGAAATCCTTATACAGGATTCAAGGGTAGATTAGTAAACATTGGGTTTTTAATTTATCTTTATCAGGGATTCCCTTCTCTCCAAATCCCTCCAATTTAGGAGGAAGATTATCAGAAAAGATGATCATGTGATTACCCTTCCTTTCGAGGTTAGCTGTTGGGTTTAATAGCATTAATACTTTTATTAATATTGTACACACTTTGACTTAGTATTGTAAACGTGTGTTTTTGAATGCTTCTACAGTCAAGAGCTATAGCGTAGGAACAGGAGAATTTATCTCCTTCTTAGTCTCAGGTTAATATGTATATAATCAAATGTATCTGTTCAATATCATATACAATCAATTCATTCATTACTCTGTATCTCTTTATGGTATCAGAGCTTCACTGAGATTATTAAGAATTTTTTTTTCCCGATCTTCTATGGCGGCCCCAAATCTTCTTCACCTTGCTACCACCACCAACTCAAACCTAAATTTCCAGATCCCTACCATACCCATTAAACTCGATCGATCTAACTACATTCTCTGGTGCACCACCATTATCTCCGCCTTGGAGACCTTCGATCTGGAAGAATACGTGCTAAAACCTAATCCGCCGCCTGCCACAATTGCAGTACCTGCCGTTGAGGCTGTTCCTGCCACCGCCACAGCCCTGACAGTCGAAGCTGTTCAAGCCACCACCACTGTCAATCCGGACTATACCCTTTGGAAGAAAAGGGATCGTTTTGTTCTTTGGTGGTTAAAATCCACGTTGTCTGATCATGCTCATGCTTTGGTTGCCCATACCACCTCATCTCACCTAGCATGGACCACCATTGAAACATTGTTTCAAGCTCGAACACGTGCATCTCGAATGCAACTCAAGACCCAATTGCAGACTCTTACGAAGGGGTCTATGTCCATGATTGAGTATCTTGAAAAGAAGAGATCTATCTCTGATTCCTTGGCTGCAACTCTTCATCCCATTCATGATGAAGACTTAATTAGCTATATCCCAAATGGCCTTGATGTGTCTTACGGGCCATTCATCACTGCCTTCATGATGAAGACAGACTCTCTAACTATTGATGATCTTACAGGTTTTCTACTGCAGGAGGAAGCACGACTTGAACAAGAGCATCTTCGTCTTGCTTTGACTCAACAACCCCCTGCCATGGCTCTTAATGTGAATCGCTCCAACCCACGTCAACAAACCAATCAAGGCTCGAGTTCTTCCAACAATTATCGAAACTATGATCAGAAGAAACGCCGGCCAACATCTCAACTGTGCTCAAAACCAGGTCATGAAGCGATCGACTGCTGGCAGCGTGGAAATCAAGCTGACTTTCCCTCACGAAAAACTAATCCACGCAACAACCAACGCCAAGCCCACTTGGCACGTCAACAAAACACTACCACTGCTTTCGATCCAGCTTGGTATTTTGACACTGGGGCAACAGATCATGTGACCCCTGACATCTCCAAACTTAACATTTCAGAGCCATACAATGGAGATGATAAACTTCAAGTGGGAAACGGTAACCATCTATCTATTTTTCATGTTGGTTCCTCTGTTTTGCCTAATCTAAAATTGCCAAATGTGCTTCTTGTCCCTAATCTCACAAAAAGTTTACTTAGTGTTTCCAAACTTACAGAGGACAATAATGTATCTATGGAGTTTTTTCCTAAATCATGTTCTGTTAAGACATTGCAGGGGCAAACAATCCTCCGCGGGGATAAACATCAAGGTTTATACCGACTGCCTTCTCATTCCTTTCGACGGTCTCCCATGGTCTTCAACAGCAGCCGCATCTCTCTACATGGCTGGCATAAGAGGCTTGCACATCCACATGAACCTCTCTTACGTCGTTTGGTGTCAACTTTTCAACTTCCAGTGTCTTCAAATCAATGTTTGTGATTCTTGTCAATTAGCAAAAAGTCATAGATTGCATCTTCCTACTTCTCATGTTACATCCTCTAAACCATTTGAATTAATTCATTCAGATGTTTGGGGACCCGCACCCGTTTATTCAATAAATAGCCATCGAGATTTTGTGTTATTCATTGACGATTGTACTAAGTTTGTGTGGATTTATTTCATGTCTCAAAAATCAAAAGTTTGTCAACTGTTTCTAAACTTTCGAACAATGGTCAAAACTCAGTTCTCATGTGATATAAAAAGTATGCAATCTGATTGGGGGGGGGGGAGAGTATAGAAATGTCTCATCTTTTCTTATTAAACACAGGATTACTCATAGAGTTTCATGTCCACACACTCAAGAACAAAATAGGGCTGTGGAACGCCGAAATAGAGTTATTGTCGAAAAAGGACTCACACTTTTAGCACAATCCTCTCTTCCACAAATTTTTTGGGAACATGCTTTTAAAACAGCCACTTATTTGCACAATCGCACCATCACTCCCATTCTTAATTATGAGTCGCCATATCAACATCTATATCAAAAGATTCCTGATTATGCCTTTCTAAAAACTTTTGGGTGTTTGTGCTATCCATATTTGAGACCATATAATCCTCACAAACTTGACTTTCATTCAAAGCCATGCATTTTTATTGGTTATAGTGCATCTCATAAAGGCTACCTTTGTTATCATCATCCTACCTCAAAAATATATATTTCTCGCCATGTAATTTTTGATGAAGACGTTTTTCCCTATCCAAGTCTAACTGATATTCAGCCTCCAAACATTCCATCTACTCCTGAAAATAATCCATCTGTTATTGTCGATACCCAACAGCCTGTTTCCCAATCTGCCCCATCTGCTTCCTCGCCACAGCCCACTGGACCAATAGTGGAACCCACTTCCCTGCATCCGACCTCATTACCTCAAAACCTAACTCAAACATCACCTGATATTCCTACTTTTTCGTCTCAAAACTCCAGTTCTACACACAATCATACTTCGATATTCCGTCCAGCAGACAACAATCAACACCCTATGATAACACGAGCTCGCACAAATTCTCTCAAACCGAAATCCTTCAACACTGTTCTTTCCTCTACTATTGAACCTCGTCTTTTTTCCCAAGCTGTCAAGCACAAGTGTTGGCAAGATGCGATGAAAGCAGAATAGGATGCCCTCATGCGAAATAATACATGGTCACTTGTTACTTGTCCCACTGACACTAATATTGTTGGTTGTAAGTGGATTTACAGGATCAAAAAGCGAGCAGATGGAACTATAGAACGACATAAGGCACGACTTGTGGCTCAGGGATTCAGTCAAGAAGAAGGGGTAGATTATTTTGATACATTCAGTCCGGTGATTAAACCAACCACAATTCGTGTTGTGTTATCTATTGCTTTGTCAAATGGCTGGCGAATCAGACAGTTAGACATCAACAATGCCTTTCTCAATGGGGATTTATTGGAAAAGGTATACATGAGACAGCCCAAGGGTTTTGAAGACACTACTCGCCCTAATCTTGTTTGTCGTCTAAACAAAGCTCTCTATGGCCTCAAACAGGCGCCTAGATCATGGTTCAATAAGCTCAAAAACTATGTCGTGTCAAACGATTTTCGGGCTTGTCAATCGGATACGTCCTTGTTTGTCCACATTACTACTAAAGTTACTATCTATGTTTTGGTATATGTGGATGACTTGATCATCACCGGTACTGACAATACATCTCTTCAAAAGTTTATTGACAGGTTAAACAACATGTTTTCTCTCAAAGATCTTGGTGATCTGAATTTCTTCCTTGGTCTTCAGATCACGAGAACGAAATCCGGCCTTACTCTGTCTCAACAAGCCTACATCACCGATATACTAAATCGTAGCAATATGTTCTTGGCTTCCCCAATGACAACACCTGCTGATCCTTACTCCAAACTTCAAAAAGATGGAGACCCATTCTCGGACCCAAAAATGTATCGACAGGTTGTGGGTTCACTCCAATACGCAACCATAACCCGACCGGACATTGCTTATTTTGTCAATCAAGTTTGCCAATATATGCATTCTCCAACAAATCAGCATTGGCAAGTGGTAAAACGAATTATTCGCTATCTTAAAGGTACAATACATCACTGTCTTCACTTCAAACCTACTAAAGCAAATGGTCTTCATGCTTTCTCCGACTCGAGCTGGAATTTTGATGTTGACGATAGTCGCTCTCAATATGGGTATGCTATTTTTCATGGATCCAATCTCATTAGTTGGACATCGAGAAAGCAAAAGGTGGTTGCTCGATCAAGTACTGAAGCTGAGTACCGGTCCTTAGCTTACACCACAGCTGAACTAATGTGGCTGAAACTTCTTATAAGTGATCTTCGCGCACCTCTTACAGTGTCTCCACTTCTGATTTGTGATAATGTAGGGGCTATTTTCATGACAAAAAATCTTGTCATCAGCACAAGATCCAAACACATAGCTTTGGATTTTCACTTTATTCGTGAACAAGTTGAATCTGGCCAACTACAAATATGTCATGTATCATCGGTTGATCAACTTGCTGATATCTTTACAAAACCGTTGGCCAAAGATAGAGTTTATTTTCTATGCTCCAAGCTTCAAGTTCGTCCCGCCCTTGAGCTTGCCGGGGGGTAATAACATTAATACTTTTATTAATATTGTACACACTTTGACTTAGTATTGTAAACGTGTGTTTTTGAATGCTTCTACAGTCAAGAGCTATAGCGTAGGAACAGGAGAATTTATCTCCTTCTTAGTCTCAGGTTAATATGTATATAATCAAATGTATCTGTTCAATATCATATACAATCAATTCATTCATTACTCTGTATCTCTTTAGGGTTTTACGAATTAATGGGCTAATTTTATGAACGACGTACACTACATTCCTATTATTTCATTAATTTTATGAACGAAGTACACTATCTTTTCCTTGATCTTCGACTGCTTCGCTTAAGTGATCATGAATTAAAAAAAAACACTGAGTTCTGCTTCTACGAATTGGTTTTACAAAAATCATAGAAAAAAGAAAGGTTCAAGAAATCAGTTTTTTGTCACGGTTACGTTCGTGATTATTTCCTTTATTTTCTGTAAATTCCCTATCTGATCCTCGATTGCTTCCTGCTTCATGATCGTTTTTAAACAAACGTAGATTGACATTCGAATTCTGCTTCTACGAATTGAATTTCACAAAAATCATAAAAAAAGGTTCAAGAAATCGGTTGTTGTCGCACTTCTGATTCAAGAAATTGGATTTCACATAATTCACTGAAAAAAAGAGGTTTAAGAAATCGAATTTCACATAATTGATTCAGTGGATCAGAAATCGGATTGATTGACTGGCTCAAAAGTCAACTTCCTTCAAAAACAAAAATTACTCTGTAATCAATCTTTTACAATTCTTTTATGCAATTCAAGAACTTCTATAAATTGGGTGTTGTTTCTTGCTTTGAATTATACTATTTGTAGTTTATAGTATGATTATCAAAAAAGTTTCTGATAATCTACATAAGAGTAACGAAACTTCTTCGTCTTTACTTGATTTTGCAAGTTGGGAGTTCTCTTTTGGGTAATCAACATAAAAAGCAATTCTCTTTGTTTCTTGGTAGTACAATTCTAGAATCCTGGTGTTATTCTTGCTTTAAAACGTTCCTCTTATTACGATTATATGATGTTTTCTTGTTATATATTGTTTTCAATATATCAATCATGTTAATCTACATACAAAACAGTACATAGATGATCAAATAAAGAACCACAACGATTAAGATTTGAATTTTGGAGAGAATAACTTTTTACTATCTCCAAATCAAAATAAAATACCAAATTTGTGTACACTAGATACAAAAATCAAATTATAAATATAAAACTGATGTAATTTTCTATGGAAATCATTACTATTTATTCTTTTAGGTCTAAACCGATGTAATTTTTTTATACGTATATATTTGTGTATTTGATGGGTTCAGCTGAGGAGGTTGACCTTTCTTTAGAGGTACAACAATTGCAAAAGTTGACTGAATCAGAAAAGTCTTTTTTGCTGCATCAAACGGAATTATTTTGGAAAATCTGGTTACAACATTTTTAAATGACATTCAGATACCTTAGATAAAGTAGTGCTTTTTGACTTATTGGACTAAATGAATTGTCTCAATATGAAAAAATATGTATGTTTTACCCTTTTGTGTAGAAGCGATGCAGAATAAAGACAATGATGTCTTACTGGATAACATGAAGTCTTTTTGTTTATATAATGTCAAAAAGAGGCACCACTATATAATCATATCCCCGTTTAGTCTGTTAATCCAAAAAGTAACAACACCTTAACCCGATTACTTATATAAGGTTGTTTCGTTTTTGACTTGATACAAAAAGAACAAATTAATAGAAAAAGTATTGAAAGTGAAGTTTAGAACCCAATTATGGAATTGTACTACAAAGAAACAAAGAATTGCTTTTTTACATTGATTACACACACACACACACACAAAAAAAAAACCTCCCAACTTGCAAAATCTAGTAAACATGAAGAAATTTTGTTACTCTTATGTAGATTATCAGAAAGAGCTTAGATAATCATAGTACAAAATATAAATAGTACAATTCAAAGCAAGAAAAAACACCCAATTTATAGAATTTCTTGAACTGCATGAAAGAATTGTAAAAGAATTACAAATTGCAACCAATTACAAATAGAATTACAATGTACAAAAGAATCATATGAACCAAATGAAGAGTCAATATGTTAAAACCTTCAAACCCCCTTATTCCCCTTCCTACTCTTTATTTAAATATTTCTTTGTACACCCTTTCAAGTTCCAACTCCAATCAGACTTTAACTGAAGTCTCAAATGTCTGAATCAGTTCAGTATGATGCTTCCACAAGTGCTTTGACTTTAGAAACAGAAAATGGTCTCCAGGTCCTACGTTGTCAATCCTTTAGAGTCATTGATGTGATTGGTATAATAGACTTTGTATCCACCACTATTTCTTCTTTATTTTTTCAATTATTCAATCTTTCAGCTTCCTTATGTTGTTCATCATTTGCGGGATCAAACAAAATCACTGTGTGAGAAAGGAACACATAATCCAGAAAATAAAACATAAAAAAGGAGATAGATACACGTTGACTTTTTCTGGTCAACCATCATACATTTCAAAATCAAAAGAAACAAGGTACAAAGATTAACTTTTATCATTGTTTCAAAACCATGTGCCATTACAAAGCAGGCATACAGATCAAAAAACAAGTCTTAGTTATTTTCAAGTAGGCGAGGTGAGACCTATTCTGTCAAAGCAATACTTATACTTTCGATTTTCCTAAGAGATTATGCTTGTTAAAGCCTATGCTTGATAATACCCATTCTTCATAAGAACTTATGCTTTTTAAGCCATATTGACACAAAATTTCACTAAGGCATTTAATCAAACACCTAGTCTACATTCCTAGAAACATCTCTGTAATAAGATGAATATATAGAAAACACCCTAGAAATAAACCTGCTCTCGATCAAGCATCTCAATCTAATGAAATTTCAGCTAATGCGCAACTAGTACCAATTGAAAAAGATAAAATCAAAAAACGACCTCACTTAGCCATGTGATTAACCAGAAAAATTAGTAAAGATATGATGAAAAAAAACCCTGAATGGAAATAAGATGAATTTCTTCATGATTGAATATGTTAGGAAGAATCGAAGGAATAATCGAAGGACGCACAACAATGTATACATGCGATATCATTGAATCTGTCTTCTGAGTTCTCAATAGATGTGATATGGAACGAGGAAGACAATAAGGAGTGTTAACTTAAAACAACGTAGTATAGTTATTTAGGTACCTAAGCCTACATACCCTCAAGGGTATATTCACTATTCCCTATATATATATATATATATATATATATATATATATAAAATTGATTTTGGTTTT